CGCCCGGGCAACGCCGGGTACTTCCCGCTAGTATATAAACAAAACATCCACCATTCATGACGAATTGAGAGCAACCTTATCACAGTGCTAATGCCATGATAGGTGCAATTTAAGGCCATATAAGTGGCCTTAAATTGGTCTGATATGGACTAGACCTTGGCGATTGACACTCACAGCTTTGTATGGAGCAAATGTCCAGGCAGCTTCCACAGTGGTACACAGTGTAATGAAAGAATGCTGCTCGACTAATTTTAAGTGAGACTTTGGCTGCCAAACCAGAGCTGGTCATAAAACATGAACCCGGTATGGAAGCTCCTCCACCACTTGTACAACTGTCTGATTATTCATGGAGCGTTGAGGAGGTGCAGTGCTGGATGACATTACATTCCTAGGCAGGTGATTTATTTTTGTGGAACATTTGCAAGGCCCCATTTCATGATGGAATTATCCATAATTCCATCTCATTGAGTAGCCATTACCAAATCATCAGCAGATGTAACATGGTTGACCAGCAGGGAACGATCCTTTAACTATAACCAGGCATCGATTAGCGTATCATTGTAACCGTAACAAATGCTATGGTTTTATATGACCATTAGGAGCTTCTCAAACGACATCATTATTGAAACTGCTATGTGTAGTGACATCGTTGGATGTCACTCTATGAAGCTGGCCTGGGAGAGGCACGGCACGCCATGTATTAAAATCGCAGACACCACTAAAGGTGGATGCAGTACCGGCCCGAACGGGGCTCGGGGAGCACTGAGAGCAATGGATGGCACCACGCTCTGCGTGCAGTACAATCCCCTACAGCAGGCATGTCCAAAGTCCGGCCCACGGGCCAATCACGGCCCGTGGTCAGATTTCATACGGCCTGCAGCTTCGGTCTTATAATGTGCTATTTATGGCTCGCTAGCTCTGTCAGAATAAATAAATCATAAAATTCCTCCTTTCACCACACGGTGGCAGCACCATTATAATGCCATCTGGCTCTGCATCCGTGCCGCGAACCCTTCTCGAATAATTTCTGCCATGGCGACTGCAAAAAAAAAGAGAAAAGTTGACAGTGAGGGCCGCCGCTTTCAGGAGCGGTGGGAATTACAATACTTCTTCACTGAAAATCAAGGCAATTGTGTTTGTCTAATTTGTAAAAAGACGGTTGCCTTGTTTAAGGATTTCAACATAAAGAAACACTACGTGACTAAACATGCTACAACATACGACAAGCTAACAGGGAGTGACTGCGCTGAAAAAGTGAAGCAACTCCAAGCTGCTCTGGCATCGCAACAGTGATTCTTCACGCGGGCCTGTGAGTAAAAGGAAAACATCACCAAAGCCAGCTACGAAGTGGCCATGTTAATAGCTAAACATGGCAAACCTTTTACTGAAGGTGCGTTTATCAAAGACTGTCATGAAAATGGTGGAGAACATTTGCCCCGAGAAGAAGCAATAATTTATTAATGTTTGCCTGGCACGCAACACTGTGGCACGGAGAGTTGAGGACATATCGTCAGATATTCAGAGACAACTGGGGGACAGGGGAGTGGCTTTTGATTATTTCTCATTAGCCTGCGATGAAAGCACCATATGCATCTGACACTGCACAACTACTTATTTTTTTAAGAGGAGTTGATGACAACATGAACGTGACAGAGGAGCTGCTTGACCTCAAAAGCCTTAAAGGGCAAACCAGAGGAACAGATTTATTCGTTTCTGTTTGTGAAGCTGTTGATCATATGAAACTACCATAGAGTAAAGTTTCTGGGATCATTACCGATGGTGTGCCTGCCATGGCTGGTGAGCGAAGTGGATTGTCCACACTGATCTGCAATAAAGTCAGCGAAGAAGCAGGTAACGCTATTAAACTTCACTGTATCATTCACCAGCAGGCTCTCTGCGCCAAACATCTAACATTTGACGATGTTATGAAACCAGTGGCAAAGGCAATCAATTCTATTCGCTCTAAAGCTCTATACCACCGACAGTTTCAGCAGTTCTTGCGTGACATCCAGGCTGAATACGGTGACGTAATATATCACAACGATGTGAGGTGGCTAAGTCGGAGGTCCGCACTGCAGCGATTTTTCTCTGTCAAAGAGGAAATTGGACATTTTTTGGGTGAGAAGGGACAACCAATGGAAGAACTGTCCGATCCTGTATGGTTGTCAAATCTGTCTTTTTTGGTTGACATAATGAAGCATCTGAATGCGTTGAATGGTAATCTTCAAGGTAAAGATGCAGTGGTGAGCCAGCTATACACTCACATCAAGGCCTTTCCAAAGACACTTGTCCCAAACAGAGCCCTGCACCGCGCACTTCTCAGCTTTGAAAGAGGTCATTGACAGTTTCGCACAGACAACATCGGTGCGCAAATGAAGAGTTATGCAACAGCTATCGCATCTCTTTCTGTGGAATTTAACAAACGCTTTCGGGACTTTGCAGTTATTGAAAAGGACATGTTGCTTTTCTCTTCTCCCTTCTCCGTGGACCCTGATGATGCTCCTCCACAGCTGCAGCTCATTGAGCTGCAGTGCGACGATGAGTGCCACGGAAAACACCAGCAGTGTTCTCTTGTTGACTTTTACCGGCAGCTGGACAAAAGCAGGTTTCCAGAAATGCGGTCATTCGCTAAGAAAATGCTGAGCTTATTCGGCTCGACATATTTGTGTGAGCAAACATTCTCAGTCATGAACTTAAACAAGAACCGATTGAGGTCAAGAATGATTGACTCCCACTTGCGTGACATTTTACGCATCTCAACCACTGCCCTCAAGCCAGACACGGTCTCTTTACTGAAATCTAGATCTCAGTATCACCCTTCTCATTAGTGTCAGCAAGTTATCTGTTCCTTGATCAATCTGAAATTGAGTGTTTTGAACGTTAACATCACTATTTACAGTGAAAAGCCTAAAGCACACTAATGCACTTGGACTTATGGCACTTGTTTTATTAAACTCTTGAATAAGATTTGGTTATAACTGTTAATGTTATGTACCTGAAGTTGTGACACAAACTATTGCTTTCTGAAAGATCTTGTAAAAGACAAGGGCAAAATTCACTTGTTTTAAAGTTTAATAACAGACCACTTTGCATTACTTATAACTCCTGTTTAAAATGTTCATGAGGAAAAGATATTTAACTCATGGAAATTTAAGGTATTCTATACAGTTTGTTTAATGTTATCTGACTGAATGAAAGGCAGAATTGTGTTTTAGAGTTGTTCACGTCTGCCTGAGTGGCTTATATTTGGTTACATTGTCATTTGAAAAATATAGATAATTGTGACAATGAAAATTGTTTTCTAACAATGTGTATTTTCATGTAACTTTTGTGGTTAAAAAAATGTCAGAAGGAACTATTGGCCCCCGAGCATCATCACTTTATCAAATTTGGCCCTCTTTGCAAAAAGTTTGGACACCCCTGCCCTACAGGATAGAGTGCAAGGGTGCCAACCACGGAACGGGGTTGCAAGGGGCCATGGCACTCTGGTTGACCCTAGAGGACATGTGACCGGAGATGACGATTGCTTGTGTTGCGATCGAAATGTCGTGATATTTTTTTATCCACTTTATTTTCATTTATTATTATTTCTTTTTCTATCCACGTGACTTTACCGCAAGACCCAAAGAATATTAAATCCTGCAGCCTCAAAAGCTTTAAGTCAAGATTTAACTGCCGTCGACATTTATGCCAAAATTGAAGCTTCATTCGATTAAACCCACCAGAAGGCAAAACATCCAACATTGTCTATACTAAAGCTCTCCAAGGGCAACGAATTTAAAAGCTGTCTTCATTATGAAACAAACAAGCCCTGCGATTGTATAAAACAACCAAGAAACCGTGACAATATACACACATTCACAAACTTAATTGGCAGAATTCAATAATTCCAATAAAGCCAGCATTACAAGACATTGCTCTTAATATTTGAGTACTGAGACTTGTGTGAAGCCGGGTAACTTAGTTATTACCGAATAAATACTATACTTCCGATGAAAATGCTTGTGCATGAGTGCGGAGCGGTAGTTCAACGGTTAGCGTGTTGCGCTATAAACCCAGCGACCTGATTTATATTCCCACAGAGCCAAGCCACACCATTTGGCTGTCGACCTGATGAAGCTGGTTGTAATTACTGGCTAACGTCGTATTCAGATTGTAAATGTTGTGGCTTGGCTCTCCAACACACAACCTGTGTCGTGCTGCACTCGTGACGAATTGGCCACGTTCTGTTTCCGTGACAAACCCTTCCTAATTGGCTGTGTCAGGTGATGGCGGGTTTACCGACATATTTTTACGCGATCTAATCCAAACAAACCTGTATTATGGTTGTATATTTGGAATTTGCGTGTCTCTCTCCCCGTGGTCGCGTGGCTTTTCCTCCGGATCCTCAGGGTTTTTCTCTCCACATTTAGAGTCAACATCACCACGCGTTTAGAGTATTTGACCGACAGACATTTACATACGTTATATTCTTGGATCTTTCGGTAAAGTCACGTAGCAGGGAAATAATAAAATAATAATTAAAAACATAAAATTCTCACGACGTTTCGGCCACAACACAAGCAGCCATCCTCAGGTGAAGAACAGAGCTGTCGGAAAGACAGCGTCTTTATATGAATCCCTGCAGTCACGAAAGCTTTAAGTCGAAATTTACACACGTTGATAAGCCACTTTGTTGTCGGCAGGTCACTTCTGAAAAAGAGCGGTATAGCAGCTCAAGTGGGCTTGCCCTTGGTAAGATGAAAAAAGAACTGTAGAAATATTTAAAAGAAACAAAGTTTCAAAGTAGTAAGCCAGGTGAAGACAAATTAAACTTAAGCAGAGAATGAAAGCAAATGCAATCAGGCGAGGGCAGGTGGCAAGGCCCCGCGTTGTAATGTTCAAACCTGGACATCGATTCCATACTCGCTGCTACTCAATTGATATCTCTACGAGAGAGGAGCGAGGCTCTACCTGAGTAAACAACAACAACAACAACCACCACGATGTGAACTTCTCACCTCGGATCTCAGTGAGCGCGCGCGCGGTGCAGCAGCTTCCGGATATATCGTGACGTCACGCGGCAGCAGGAGGTGACATGACGTCACTTGCGGGGTTCAAAACAATCCCCTCCCCGAACGAGTGGCGGTGTAACTGAATATATTATGTTAATGAGACGGGCTCATGTCCAGTAATGAGGCGTGGATGCTAAACCCGTCGCAATGAACACGCGACGGTATTTGTGAATAAATTATGTTAATGACCCGCAAGTGACTGGGCGTAGCTGTGCCCAAATAAGGATTTTTACTGGAACGGAAATCGACAGTGACCAACCAGACGTGACGTCACGCTCAAAAGCGAGGTGGAGGGGGGGGTGTGAATATCTTGGCGACATGACGTCACTAGCAAGGAACACCTCCCCCAGGCGTCTCACATCGATGAGGTAATGCGGAGCTGTGACGTCAGAGAGCGGGGGGTTTGAATTTATTTAGATTCCGATTTAAAGCTTTCGTGACTGCAGGGATTCATCTTCTTGGTTCTTTCGGTAAAGTCACATAGAAGGGAAGTAATAAAATAATAAAAATAAAACATAATAAAACAATTCTCACGACGTTTCGGCCACAACGCAAGCAGCCGTCCTCAGGTGAAAACCAGGTCCGTCGAGGCGACAGAGTCTGAATGAAACAGCACACGAGCTTGGAGCATATATATAAGCTGGGCGCATTGACAAAGGAATTTGCATATCAAAAGGAATTTAGCATATTTATGGGAAATGCAGGAATGTGATTAGTACTGCATATGCATGTGCATTATGCAGGATTAACAGCATCAAAGGGAGCTGCAGTTACTGCTGCTGCTGCAGTTGCTGCTGCTGCAGTTTCTGCTGCTGCTGCAGTTGCTGCTGCTGCAGTTGCTGCTGCTACTGCAGTTGCTGCTGCTGCTGCACTTGCTGCTGCTGCTGCACTTGCTGCTGCAGTTGCTGCCTTATCCATTTTAATATAACACTATGTATTATTCTACCCACCCTAATGTGTATCACACTGCTATATGTTTACTATACAATTACTACACCATACATTACTCTGCACACTGCACCATGCCAGTGAGTGGAACGCGGTCTGAAAGTCACCGTAAACGTGAACACAATCAGTTAAGATCCGAAATGGTTTATTACGTCCTTCCAATGATTGCTAAGCCAGAATCCATCTTCTCGGTTGAAATTGTCTCTGTGTTTGTATATGTGGATCGCCTCATGAACGAATCTCTCATGATAGCCAGATGGCTTGCAGAGAACCTCTGTCTTGGAGAAGTCAATGTCATGTGAGCCCACTGAATTGTAACAGTGATCTGCCACGGCTGAGGTGTTTGTCCTACCGTGTTTCAGGTCTGCCTTATGTTCACGGATGCGGTCCGAGACATGTCGTTTGGTTTCTCCAATGTAACTGCTACAACAGAGGCAACTTAGTTTGTAGACGCCAGGGTACTGTATGTCTGGAACCACATCTTTTACAGACGGGACCAGATCACGGATTTTATGTACTGTGTTGAATCGGACCTGGATCTTGTGTTTAATCAGGATTTTGGATATCTTTTTTGTGACCCCAGCAATGTAGGGTAAGGTGATGGTCTTGAAAGGCTCCTCAACAGGATCCTTCTTGATGGTTGGAGTGATGGCTTTGCGGATTGTGTAGTCGGAGTAACCATTAGCCTTAAGAGCTTGGCGTACGTGTTTGAGTTCACTGGAAATGTGTTCATGGTCGGAGATGCATTGGGCTCTATGATATAGAGTATTGATGAGGGAATTCTTCTGGGATGGTGAATCTGATCAGATTCACCATGGAAGTCGAAAATGATGGCAAGCTACCCTTTTTGGATGTCCTAATCAAAAGGAGACCTGATGGTTCAATGAGCCACTCTGTCTACAGGAAAGCCACCCACACGGATGCTTATCTAAAACCGGATTCCCACCACCATCCATCCCAGAAGAATTCCCTCATCAAGACTCTATATCATAGAGCCCAATGCATCTCCGACCATGAACACATTTCCAGTGAACTCAAACACGTACGCCAAGCTCTTAAGGCTAATGGTTACTCCGACTACACAATCCGCAAAGCCATCACTCCAACCATCAAGAAGGATCCTGTTGAGGAGCCTTTCAAGACCATCACCTTACCCTACATTGCTGGGGTCACAAAAAAGATCTCCAAAATCCTGATTAAACACAAGATCCAGGTCCGATTCAACACAGTACATAAAATCCGTGATCTGGTCCCGTCTGTAAAAGATGTGGTTCCAGACATACAGTACCCTGGCGTCTACAAACTAAGTTGCCTCTGTGGTAGCAGTTATTTAGATTCCTTTTCCATTGCTCTTGAACAGAGACCCCTTGGGTGCGTGAGCTCAACCACCACATGAACACTATTGTGTGTGTCTACACATGGCATTCTATGGGTCTTTCGGTAAAGCCAAGCAGATACAAAAATAATTTTAATAAATAATTATAAAAATATCACGACGTTTGGATGGCAACACAAGCGATCGTTTTCAGGTGTAAAAAAATACAGCGAGAGAGCTTCTGAAGTCGGACGTGAAATAGGCCTGAGATGGGTGCAGCCCAAGGGTAAGTGGGCGGGGCTAGAGACGGTATTTGCATGTAAATGTAAGATCGGAGGGCGCCCTGAGGCCGTGGCTTTATCGAAAGACCCATATAATGTATTCCTGCTGTCACGACAACTTTAAGTCAAGATTTATATAAATTTAAACTCTAAACCCGCTCTCTGACGTCACCACTGCATTGCGTCATCGGCGTCAGACGCGAGGGGCAGCTGTGGCCCGCTAGTGACGTCATGTCACCTGCTGCTGCCGCGTGACGTCACGAGACACCAGGAAGCTGCCGATCCGCGCGCGCGCTCACTGAGATCCGAGGTAAGAAGTTCACATCGTGGTGGTTGTTGTTGTTGTGGTTGTTGTTGTTGTTTACCCAGGAAGAGCACCGCTCCTTCTCTCTCGTAGAGATATCAATTGAGTAGCAGCGAGTATGGAATCGATGTCCAGGTTGGAACATTACAACGCGGGGCCTAGCCATGCGGGGCCTTGCCTCCTGCCCTCGCCTGATTGCATTTGGTTTATTTCTCTGCTTAAATTTAATCTGTCTTCATCTGGCTCACTACTTTGAAACTTTGCTTCTTTTAAATATTACTACAGTTTTTAATCTTACCAAGGCCAAGCCCACTTCAGCTGCTATACCGCTCTTGTTTTCAGAAGCGACCAGCCCACAACAAAGTGGCTTATCAACGTGTGGAAATGTCTGTCGGTCAAATACTCTAAACGCGTGGTGATGTTGACTCTTAATGTGGAGGGGAAAACCCTGAGGATCCGGAGGAAAATCCACGCGACCACGGGGAGAGAGAGACACGCAAACTCCAAATATACAGGAGGGGTCGGGATCGAACCCACCACTTCCTGTATTCCAAGAGAGGCAGTTAATATCTCCCAGCCACCATGGTGCACACTCGAGTACATGACCACAATGAGTCTCAGCACTCTAATTCAGGAGCGTTCTGCCGAGTTGGTTTTGCTGATGCACCCTTTAGACCGATGAACAACTATTTTTATATTACCAACCAAGGCTCACAGAGCTGTTAGATATTTTTCAGAAGCCACCTGGCCATAGATGATAGCTCAACGAAATGGCTTTAAACGTGGAAGATTATAGCAGCCAAATAATCTAAATGCATGTTTCTAAATGTGGAGGGAAAAATCGAAGGACCCGGAGAAAAAATACTCCGAGTGAGTCAGTGTACTCCTTTTTGTGAGTGCACTCTGCGTGTGTGAGTATACTGCGTGTGTGAGTATACTCTGTGAGTGTGATTATACTCTGTGAGTGTACTCCGTGACGGTACTCTGCGTGTGTGTGTCATCTACGTGTGTGAGTGTCATCTGCGTGTGTGAGTATACTCCATGTGTGTGAGTGTACTCTGTGTGTGTGCGAGTATTCCGTATGTGTAATGTGGGGAGCGATCGTGTCGCGTGGTGACGTCACCCTCAGAGTCGGCGCCTCCCCCTGTCTGGCGGGTGACGTCACCAAGAGCAGACCGGAGAGAGGAGTTGGGGACAGCAGCGAGAGGTGCGCTTTTGGCGAGTGCTTGCGAGTGAGTCACGCGTGTAGAGTGTACAGAGAGAGGGAGTGAGTGTGTTCATTGTAATGTGTGTGTGATATATTGTGCTGTCACATGGTATGAAGAATGTCGTGGGTTCGATTCCAACCCTGACGCATTTATAATTGGAGTTTACATTTTTTTTTCTTCTCTCTCTCCCCGTAGTGGCATTGATTTTTCTCCTCATTTAGAAACATGCATTTTGAGAATTTGGCTGCAATACATTTCCATATTATAAGCCCCTCAGTTGAGCTATCATTTGTGTCCAGGTCGATTCTGAAAAATAACTATGCAGCTCAGTGGGCCTCACCTGGTAAAATAAAAATAGTGTACTGTGTTTGAGGGTTTTCCAATTTAATTTGTTATTTAACAATAAAAGATTATTTTTCAGGAGGGTCCTGCATTGGACTGTTTGACCACCACCAAATATATTTTGAGTTTAGGTTTGGGAGAAAAACGGAAACCCATTGGAACACCAATACCGACGGTGACGGCCGACGCCAGGATAGCGGCCACGGGCTCTTCTCCCAAGAAAGGAATCCGCTCCCCACTGCCCATCCACGGTGGCGCATCGTTGGCGGGGCTGCACGCCGAGCCCCACATTTTCCAGGAGGTCGGTACCTGCAATACATTCGTGACATAACACGCTCGACACATATAACTCTTGTCCGAGGCGACCCTTAAGGGTGACCCTCCCCAGCAGTCCCATCCCACTTCCACTTGCATTGTGCAGCGCACGATCCGGGGCCTGTAGGCAGCCCACGTCAACCCCGACCACGCTGCAGTGTGTTGCACTCACGAGTGACGTTACCGTCCCCGTGTCCAGCAGAATCCGGGTACGCCGCCTGTTCACCTGCCCTTCCATGAGCGACGTGGACCCCATTATTCCTGCCACCAGCTCCCGCAGCCAGTCACCCGCAGTCGCCGCATTTTGGGGTGTTGTTGTCAGCATCTGCGTGGGGGTCACTCGCTCACCATTATCATGACAGTTTATTTGTGTTGGGGCCACGTCAATTGCACCCCTCCGTGGTCCCCTATTTAGGGAGGCCTTGGTGTTTAACCCTGATGCTTCTCTCGCGTGGGCGATCTGGCGACTGTCTCTCACGAGATTCTCCCATTGGTCGCATAGATAGCATGCACGGGGAAGGGCGGTGGCTCCATAAGAGGCCCCTTGCCCACTCCCCCTTCCCCACTCCCCCTTCCCCTCCCAGTGCGCATTTGTTCGAGTTCTGCCTCTTATTCAGACACTCGCCCGGTTAGCCCCCCGACCATGGAGTATAGCCCTCTCAACTCGGACTGGACCATCTCCGCTGTGGACTGCAGCTTGGTCACATTCCCGTTTACTTGGGTCACCTCCCCGCATACTTGGGTTACCTCCTCACATACTTGGGTCACATGGTCTGTGATATCTCCTATGCCGGTCTGTATCCCTGCCACCCATCCTTGGGTTGTCTCACGGGGTCCCGGAGGCTCCTTTGTCCCCCATCCCTCACCGTCCTGGCAAGCTTTTCCTCCTCTGGAAGAAGACTTGCGATGGTGTGCTCCTGTCTCAGCCGTTGGAACTGCGCACTCTCGCGAGCAAATCTCTCACACACACGCATGCGCGCTCGACAAGGGTTTTAAATGGGGGATATGGGCAGTTCGCATCTGGCTGCCACCACGTTGTGCTTGTCAGATACTGTTGAACTTTCTCGGCGGCGAGGTCATCGATGATCTCGGCAGTGTATCCCAGGCGTGCGCTCTGCATTAGCCAGTATGATTTATTTTAGTGCGCGCTCACTGAGATCCGAAGTGAGAAGTTCACATCGTGGTGGTTGTTGTTGTGGTGGTAGTTGTTGTTTACCCAGGTAAAGCCTCGTTCCTTCTCTCTCTCGTAGGGATATCAATTGAGTAGCAGCGAGTATGGAATCGATGTCCAGGTTGGAACATTACAATGCGGGGCCTAGCCATGCGAGGCCTTGCCTCCTGCCCTCACCTCATTGCATTTGGTTTAATTCTCTGCTTAAGTTTAATTTGTCTTCACCTGGCTCACTACTTTGAAACTTTTTTCTTTTAAATATTTTTACAGTTTTTTTATTTTACCAGGCCAAGCACACATGATGCCTTGTAAAAGGTTTCAGTTTGGTGTTTGAACATCTTAACACCTGTTTTGTTGCCAGGAAAAAAGGGGAAAACCTATTCTCATTTTTGTACTGGCAAAGGAGGTCCTATGATGTCGCTGCTCACCCTGAGCTCTCATTACTCTGATGGTGCTTGTCTTTGTGCTGCACGCCTATTGGCGTCCTCTGGTCTAACACCGTTTGAGACTATGCTTGAACGAAAAATATCTCTGGTGTGAACCAATCAGTTTCGAAGACAATGCATATTTATTTGTATTTTATATAAAAGTCTCCACGCGCTCGTGCTTGCGGGGGATTTGGCTTTCGGACGGTGGGTTTAAGACGGAAATAATTTTCCAGCCGGCACACCCTGGTGGGAAAATGCTATTGCGTTTTCACGTCCGTAAATTTTAAAGTCGTTTAATTAACGAATTAGTGTCATTCTTATTTTAATTATTTACTTATTGCGCCACATCGACCGTACCAACTCATGCCAATTGCCTGAGGGGGGCGGACCCTGCCGAGTGATGCGCGTTCGCTCCAGCTCACGGGGGACATTTTATTTTACGCATTTCACATGGAATAAATATACACATCACGTTGGCGATTTCTCTTTACAGTGTGATATCTTCTTCCCCCCCTCACCCCAATGCGTGCAGTTACTGCTATAAAGTCCTTAGATATTAATTTCATATTATTAAAGCGGTTACATAGTATTATTATGGCGAGGGCGGGGGGATGGTGAGGGGGGGGTAGCGGCCCAGCTCGCAGCCTGGCAACGTCTCACCTCCGGCTTGCCAATCTAGGCGAGGCCGCGGGCTCTGCACGGGACGAGGCGTCACCACGCCAATGTAAAGTACAATTTTATTCAATCTTTCGCTAAGAACTCAGGTTTATTGTTTACTATTATTAAACAAATACGTTTATAAACATTACAATGATAATGTTTGTGTGCACATAACAACTCTGCTTCATTGTTTACTATTATGAAACTAATAAGTTGCCTAATATTACAATTATAATGTTTGTGTGCAGAAACTACATGTGTGTCCCTAAAGTCGATGTCTGTGTGTGAGTCCATATGTGTTTGTGTGCGTGTAAGTCGATGGGTTTCTATGTGTGTGGGTCCATGTCTGTGTGTAAGTCCATGTGTGTGTGTCTCTTTTTAAACGAACACATAACTTGGGAATTTAATACCATACAACACTGCACCTGCTCTGCTCCCCATGAATAATCAGGTAGTTCTACACATGGTTGAGGAGCTCCTATACCTGGTTAATGTGTTCACGACCAGCTCTGGTTTCACTTCAAATTAGTCTAGCAGCATTCTTTAATTATGCTCTGTAACACTATGTGGAAGCTGCCTGGACTTTTTCTCCATACAAAGCTGTGAGTGTCCATTGCCAAGGTCTAGTCAAATGAACATTAATTTATATATTTCTGCATAATACAAATAGTATTATTTTCAACAGCCTTTGCTATGTTAGCTAATTTTTCTTAAATAAATATTCTTGTCGTAGCTAGACAACCGAAATTGTGTGCTTGGAGTTTTTGGTAAACATTCATTTTGAAGACACTAGGGTGTCCAGGCATGTTTATGACCATTTGGCCTCTCATTGTGTGCCTTAACAGCCCATGTGATGAATTGGGGAATCTCTTTCACTATATCATGAAAATATGAATATATATAGACGTGTAAGTCATGTGTGACTATGTATACATGCATTCCTCTTTGCCTCAATACTCACATAGATGGTGTGGATATGTTTTTCTGTCTGCAGCTGACGCTTGTTCTGTAGAATTGGCCTGATGGAGCAAAGGCACTCAGTGCAGCTCGGTACAAGAAGGAAACAATGCGTCCAGAATGCAAACAACACGGATCGTACTGGAAACTTGACACTGCACCAGAGAACACACACAGGAGAGAAACCTTTCAAGTGCACTGTGTGTGGGACGGCGTTTGCACAGTCATCAACTCTTCAGACCCACCAGAGAACACACACAGGATATAAACCCTTCATTTGCAGTGTGTGTGGGAAGGCATTTTCAGATTCATCTACTCTTAAAAATCACCAGAGAATACACACAGGAGAGAAACCTTTTAAGTGCACTCTGTGTGGGAAGGCGTTTGCACAGTCATCAAATCTTCAGACCCACCAGAGAACACACACAGGAGAGAAACCTTTCAAGTGCACTGTGTGTGGAAAGGCATTTGCACAGTCACCACATCTTCAAAGACACCAGAGAACACACACGGGAGAGAAACCCTTCAAGTGCAGTTTGTGTGGTAAGGCATTTCCAGGTTCATCTACTCTTAAACATCACCATAGAACACACACAGGAGAGAAACCCTTCAAGTGTAGTGTGTGTGGGAAGGCATTTTCAGGTTCATCTACTCTTACACAACACCAGAGAACACACACAGGAGAGAAACCCTTCAAGTGCATTCAGTGCGGGAAGGTGTTTGCACAGTCATCAATTCTTCACACCCACCAGAGAACACACACAGGAAAGAAACCCTTCAAGTGCACTCTGTGTAGGAGGGTGTTTTTAGATTCATCTACTCTTAAAACACACCAGAGAATACACACAGGAGAGAAACCCTTCAAGTGCAGTGTTTGTGGAAAAGCGTTTGCACAGTCATCAAATCTTAAAAAACACCAGAGAACACACACTTATCAGAAAATCCACAAGAAGTGTAATCTGAAATCAGCTTGTGAAAGCCAAAGTGCTGCAATGACCCCATTGTTCATGAAACAAGAACCAGAAGAAAATTCCAGCTTGGACACTTTGAAAGGTATCAAGGTGAAATATGAAGAGGCGAAGGTGAAATGTGAAGAAGTAACAGTGAAGAGCGTGGACGTGAAGGTAAAATTTGAGGACGAGTCAACTACAAAATCGGACCTTAACATAGATGGGTGCAACGTGAAGCAGGAAGAGAATTCTGACTGTGAGGCAGAGCGAGGCTACTCCCAGCAGTTTGTGGAAGTGGAGGTGTGGGTCGACTTCTTAGACAATACGAAATCAAATGGAGACCAGGTAGATGTGCAAGCTTGATACAATTAAGCTCCTATGGATGCACCTTTGTCACAGGCCTTTCTAATTAAAGAATGTGAAGTTGAACACTCAATTTCTAGGTTCAAACTGCAGTGTTTTCCTACTTTAAGTTTTACCACACATATTTGGCAAATCTAGAATTAATCCCAGCAACGTAGCAAAAGTGATGTTTCATCTACATAACAAAGGCTCAGTCCCATTCACAGCAGGACGCACCTTTATATCAGCTGCACCTTAACTCTTAGAACCTCCCAGTTCAACCAGTCTACACAACAAAGATTCATTCCTGGCAGCGGTTTCAGCCTCACCACCTCTACATAACAAAAGGCTCAGTCCCATTTACACGCACCTTTACATTAGCCTCACCTTAACAACTCTTTTCAACTAGTCTACTCATTCCTAACAGCGTGCTTCAGCCTCACAATAATAATATCCAGGGCCTACCTTGGCTCTTCCCATCCTCAACCAGTATATATACAAGGACTGTTTTCTTGGAATTTCTCTTACTTGATACAGCTATCGTGCTGTGACGGTTCCACCTGAAGACAGGCTTGTGTTGCCTCCGAAACGTGATTTTTATTTTATTTTTATTTTACTTTTATTAATTTTTTACCTACGTGACTTTACCGAAAAACCTAAGAATATGAATCCTTGCAGTCACAAAAGCTTCAAATCTAGAATTAAAAGTGTAAGAGTGGCCAGTATTTGTGGGCCTGTGGGTTGGGTCGATCTCTAACCAGGAGCGACGCAAGTGTTTTGTATCATATCATCTTAAACACTCGAAGGGTGCCCATAATGGGCATCTGCCCCTGTGTGCCACGAGGTGAGCGTTCACTGGCCTGCATGTGGATATGAGTTTGTAAGTCGGGGGCGATGATTGATATGCCAGTCGAATTTGAACCTTGAACCTCTGCAACAAATAGAGAATGTACTCCTACTTAGCTTCCATTTGAAGTACCGGTGAAGACACTTGACGCCGAGGTGGAGGCACACGGATATTTATTCAACACAGCTCGTATGTGACATACAGCACTGGAGGGGGTATCGGCCCCCTCACCCGACTAGCTAAGGATACACTTCCTAGCTAAGTCCTAGCCTGCCTCACAGTCCTCCACTACTGGGCTAGGGGAGGCTACTTGGCCCGACACTGGTAAGTCGGGCCGGTACCCGGAGTCCCAGACCAGCTCTTAGAAGAGCACCGGCTCTGGCTTTCGGGACCACGCCGCTGGCTCAGTCCTGTTCGGCCCTGATAAGGACATCGAACGAGGGGAGTCCAGGGCTCTATCTAAGACGTCTTCAGCCTTCTTGGTTAACTATAACATAACTGAACTCGAGCCCATATAACGTCCCCTTTTATACCCAACCCTCCTTGAGGGGTGGGGCCCCGGGGGATCATAACGCCAAACCAGCCCCCCCCAGGGTGTCTGGCTCGGACGTCGCAGAGGGCATCTCCCTGTGCACACACGTAGCCCCGCCCACTGTGTTTGTTTCCCATAGACTGCCATACATAACGGCCCTCTCTCTAACACCCCTACATCACCCCCCCCCCGCATAGCTTGCAGCCGTCCCGGCTGCCAACATACAGAATGACAATAAAAATGAATTTTTACCGTAACCGCGCGTGTGCCTCACTAATTTTCAACAATAACAAGAACGGCAACAAGAACACCAAAAAAATGCACAGCAAGAAGAGAAAACAACCCGACGCACCCCCCCTTGAATAAATACGAATTCCGTAAGAAACAAGCTATATACAATTTGCAGGGAAGCCACCATACACACAACAGCAGGTGAGCACAACGTATGTAAATTCAATGGGCAGGGAACACACCCCCCCACACAACACACAATGAACACAACATATATACACATCTTGCGGTCTCACAACAGTCTGCGCATTTTTGCGCGTGTCCTTGCGGCGGGCCCCTCACACGGGGAAACCCCGGGTGGCGGACCGTCAGGTGGTAATCGTCCGTCCCGGAGTGAGACCTCCTCTGATGCCGCGTGACCGTTGGTATCCCCAGAAGGGGTGGTCGGGCGTGAGCCCGTCAGTCTCGATGCACCTGGAGGTGGCACGGCCGGCAAGGCATTAGGTGAGCGCGGCGGAGACGGACCTAGTGAGTCGGTCGACCCCCCACACGTCTGGCCACGCATGTGTGAAGTGGGTTTGTGTACCGCGACGAAGGGTTTCAACCGAGAGGGGTGCACGAACCATCGCCGCTTCCCCCATCGAATGCGCACGCACTGTGGTCGCAAGACCTCGACCACTTCCACAGGGCCCCGCCACGGCCTCGCCAGCTTAGGGGAGGTAGCCAGGGGCACTTGGGGACAGTGCAACCATGCCCTGTCCCCCGGCTTCCACTGTATCACATGCGCCCGACCCAGCCTGAGGCGCTCGTTCGCCTTTTGACGGAGGTCCGAGTTCAACCTCGCAGCATCCCGCGCCTCTGTTAATTTAGCCAGATTAAATTTGACGTGGTCAGCCAATTTAGTTTTTCCTTGCGGGTCAGGGATCTGCAGCTGGGCGCGAACAGGCGGGTCGGGTTCGCGACCGTACATAAGGTAAAAGGGGGAAAATCCCGTAGCTGCATGGGGTGCCATCCGGTATGCCGCCAAGACCCCCTGAATATGCAGGTCCCAATCAGTCTGTGAATCTGAGACCTGCTGTGCCATCATTGACGAAATGGTGCGATGCAGGCGCTCGACCATTCCGTCAGTCTGCGGGTGATACGGGGAGGTCCGAATTTTCTTTGTGCCTAAGAGGTCACAGACTTGTTTAAGTAATTTGCTGGAAAAATTTTTGCCCTGGTCGGTCAGCAGCCGTTCCGGAGCACCTTTGTCCAGGACGTATCCCTGAACAAAGGCGTCCACGATGGCTGCTGCCGACTGGTTGGCAAGGGGCCAGGCCATGGGCCAGCGCGTAAAATACTCGACCCCTGTCAACAAATACCTATTGCCCCTGGGGGTGGCGGGAAATGGGCCCAAGATGTCCAGCGCGACAAGCTCATTTATTCTGGACACCTTGATTGATTGTAAAGGCGGGTTAGACTCCCGTGCCGGCGGTTTCCGTTGCGCACACCGCGGGCATGAACTCAATAGATCCCCAACATCCCTTGTCATACCAGGCCAGAAAAAATCCAGTTGTATCATTGCAAGGGTCTTTAGGGTCCCCAGGTGTAACAGGCGCTCATGCGCGGCCCACACCACCTTGCCTCGCAACTCAGAAGGGACGACCAGCCGATGTCGCTGTGATTTGCCGTCCCAATGCATGAGCAGACCCTGCACCATTTCCCATGCACCTGAATCACCTTTCACCCGCCCAGCACCCCCGACGCGACGACGCCACCCTAGGAGGGAGGTATCCTCCATTTGGAGGCGCCCCCACTCAGTGACGGGCAACCCCAACAGGGAATCTCTTCCCTGTTGTTCGATCGAATTATCAGGCAGTGGTTTGTCGTCGTCGGTGGCTGCCAGGATCGGAACCGATGCGTCCCCTGAAGGTCTGCAACGTCCCGACCCCAGGAGGCATGCACATTCCGAGGTGGTTGGCATGCGTGACAGAGCGTCCGCGTTGGTATGGCGAACGCCCTTACGGTAGGTGGTCTCAAAATCAAAGTCCTGGAGAACCTCCAACCATCGAGACAACTGTCCCGATGGTTGTTGAACTCGCAGGGCATACTGTAGTGCCGCATGATCTGTGCGGACGGTGAAATGCCGACCGTACAGATATGGGCGATACTGTTGGATGAAAAAAACAATTGCCAACAGTTCTCTACGGGTGACACAATATCTTTGCTCCGCAGGAGACAACACCCGACTACCGTACGCGACCACCCGTTCAACGCCATCAACCACCTGGGAAAGCACACCCCCAATACCCGTGTTGCTCGCATCGGTGTCGAGCAAAAAGGGCTTCGAAAAATCAGGGTAAATCAAGGGAGGGGCTTTTACCAGGGCGTCCCGAAGGGAGCGGAACGCAGCCTCCTCCTCTTGACCCCAGTGGAACCGAACCCCTTTAGATGATAAAGCGTGCAGGGGTTTAGCAATTGTCGCAAAATCAGCAACAAACCGTCGATAATACGACGCGAACCCAATGAAACTCCTGACCTCTCCCACCGAGGTGGGAGTCGGCCAGGAGCTGACACACTGCGTTTTGGCGGGATCGGTAGCAATACCTGAGCGTCCCACGATGTGCCCCAAATAACGCACCGAATCACGCAACAAATGGCATTTTTGGGGCTTGAATTTCAAATTAGCAGCCCGCATCTTTAGGAAAACCGCCCGCAACCTCTGGAGATGTTCATCAAAAGTTTTACCAAAGACGATAATGTCATCCAAATAAATGAGGCACGACTCCCATTGCAGTCCAGCCAAAACCAATTCCATCAAACGCTGGAAAGTTGCCGGCGCTGAGTGTAAGCCCATCGGCAACCGGTTGAATTGAAACAAGCCGTGCGGTGTACGGAAAGCAGTTTTAGGCTTTGACTCATCGTCCAGAGGAAGCTGCCAGAATCCCGAAAGTAAATCGAGTGTGGAAAAGAATCGCGCTCCCGCCAAGGCGTCAAGCGATTCATCCATCCGAGGGAGCGGGTATGCGTCGGCAACCGAAATTTTGTTAAGACGCCGGAAGTCAACGCAAAACCGCAACGAACCGTCCTGCTTTTTAACCAGGACGATCGGCGCTCCCCAAGGGCTGGTGGAAGGAGAAATGATGTCTGCGGCCAACATGTCATCAACAGCCGATTTGACATGGTCCTTTTCGGCGGGACTCAACCGAAACGGATTTTGGCGAATTGGCGCGCTGTCACCCGTGTCAATATGGTGACGCAGCAAGTGAGTACAACCCAAATCATATTTATTTCGACTAAAAACGTCGGAAAATTCTCGCAGTAGTGTTTTAAGTTGTTGACGCTCTGAATCGGACAGGTCCGTCGATCCCGCACAAAGCGCCTCGAGCCACCCTTCATCGCTGTCCGAATGCGGTCGCGACGCAGGGACAGTGTTGACGCGATTTACGGCGGGTTCCTCACACGGCACCGGCGTTGCGTGAGCAAGCACGGTCCCCTGTGGGACCACCACCGTCCGCGAGCCCACATTTAGGACCGCGATGAAGGGTTCACCATCCCCTCTCACTATGGTCTGGGCCGGAAGTAAGTCAGGTCCACTAACCCCGGCCCTAGACGGTCCCAACAGTACCCCTTGTGCCCCAGTACCCTTAACGAGGGGCCGCCGAAGTTTCAAGGGTACCAACATTTGCGTCCCCGGAGGGACGCGTACCGTTCTCTCCACGAACGCCGGCACCGTCGCGAACGCCGTCCGAGTCGCAACCGGTGATGGCAGAAACGCCATGCGTCTGCCCGACGGAAGCTCTATACAACCCTGGTCGATCAAAATTACAATCGGCATTTTGGCCAGGAAGTCCGTCCCCAGCAGGCACGGAACCGCCAGCGAGGAAGAAACAAAAATCGGCCCAGACAATTTTATTTCCCCGATACAAATTTGGGCACGAATTTGTCCGATGATGCCAAGTGAGCCCCCGTTAGCCGCATAGAATGGTATGTCAACAGGCATCAAGGGACGACTCCGGACAGGGAGAATATTATAAATCAATTCCGAAATAATAGTCGCCGATGCTCCCGTATCGACCAGGATGCGCACTTCAACCCCGTCGATATACCCCACAACGGCCGACGACCCCGACGATGCGGCTACCACACGATCGGCCAGCACGGACCACTGGCCGGGTTCGATATGGGTACCCGGAGTGGTGCGTGATGGTGCGATGGTGCGTGATACCGGCCCCCCTCTCGTTGCGGTGTTTGAGTGCGTGACGGGTGTGTGTGTGGGCCAAACGTGTGGGGTGCCGCGACTCGCCGGTTTTTGATGGTGGAGCTTGGGATGAGGCCCGTCGTCCCGGTGAGGTGTCGTCCCGCGCTGACGAGGAGAGCGGCACCCCGAGGCGACGTGGCCCCGGACGCCGCAGTTAAAACACCGTGGGAGCGGCGTCGGAGGTGACGAATGGTCGGAACGGCCCGACCCGTCCTGGCCCGGCCGTGCACTCGTCGCCTGTTGCCGTCGGTGGTCGACGGCGTAGAGTTCCTCTGTCGGAAGGGTGGCTGCAGCCACCGCACGCCCCGCCGACGCCCTGCTGGCTTTTCGTCGGAGCGACAGGAGGTTGGCGTGGAGGAGCCTTGCCGCCTGGAGCGACGTCATCTCTGCATCCTCCTGCGCGACCACAGCGATGTCAAGGTCGTCAGCCAGGAGGAGTATTTTCTCCGTCACCATAGCGTCGATGCCGTCGTCATCCATACGGGGGAAGGCCGACTTGGCCATCGCCAGGAGGCTCGTTCGGTACGCCAGGGGCGACTCCTTTTCACCCCGCTTGCGGTCGTAGAACTCCTGTCTGCATTCCGCCGATGGTCCGTAGACCCCTCCCAGCAGCTGCAGCGCCATCGGTAACGTCGCCCGCCTCTCTTTTGGTGCCGATGTGAGGGCTGCGAGCGCGTCGCTGTCGAGGAGCGCCGGCAGCGCGCAGAGAGCCTCCTCGTCTGTCCACCTCGCCATCTCTTGATGGGCGAGGAATCGTCTGCGGAACCCGGCCCAGTCCCCCTCCGCGCCGACGAACTCTTTCAGCGGGGGCAGCCTCTGATGGAGTGCAGCTGTCGTTGTTGATTCCCGCGGGCGGATGTCACCTCCACTCGGCTGTGCGTCGGTACGAGCGGCCGATGGGATCGCCTGTCGCGGTGGTGATGACGTCGCGGCTTCAGCGACGGCGATGCCGGAGTGGATGTGTAGGCTGGCCACGCCCCGAACAGCTGCAGTGTCGATGGCGGGAGATTCAAACTCGGGCTGCTCCGAAATGGCGGGAAGGCGCCCTGGTCGTTGGCCCGCCTCGCCCCGTGCTGAATCACCGGCCCCCAGCCGCGTGATGGTCTCCAGCGTGGCGGCAGCGGCATATAACAGCTCCGCCAGCCTCCCGTGAGCCAGCCGCAACGCGTCTGACTGTGGTCCTTCTTGACTCAGATGCCCCGGTAAGGAGACATCAGGCCCCGGCTGCACCATGGCTTGTGTAGCCGTCTCGGGCTCGACGATCTCGGCAGTATCTTCCTCTTGCGGTACTTTGGTCCGCGCTGTCTTCCGTGTGTCCATGTTCGAGTTTTACTTATGACACCAGTTGAAGTACCGGTGAAGACACTTGACGCCGAGGTGGAGGCACACGGATATTTATTCAACACAGCTCGTATGTGACATACAGCACTGGAGGGGGTATCGGCCCCCTCACCTGACTAGCTAAGGATACACTTCCTAGCTAAGTCCTAGCCTGCCTCACAGTCCTCCACTACTGGGCTAGGGGAGGCTACTTGGCCCGACACTGGTAAGTCGGGCCGGTACCCGGAGTCCCAGACCAGCTCTTAGAAGAGCACCGGCTCTGGCTTTCGGGACCACGCCGCTGGCTCAGTCCTGTTCGGCCCTGATAAGGACATCGAACGAGGGGAGTCCAGGGCTCTATCTAAGACGTCTTCAGCCTTCTTGGTTAACTATAACATAACTGAACTCGAGCCCATATAACGTCCCCTTTTATACCCAACCCTCCTTGAGGGGTGGGGCCCCGGGGGATCATAACGCCAAACCAGCCCCCCCCAGGGTGTCTGGCTCGGACGTCGCAGAGGGCATCTCCCTGTGCACACACGTAGCCCCGCCCACTGTGTTTGTTTCCCATAGACTGCCATACATAACGGCCCTCTCTCTAACACCCCTACACATTTAATGAGAGTGCTGTACGTATAAGCCTTATCGAGATCAATTTGTAAATACGTAACGTGATGCAGTATATTTCAGTATAGTAATAAAATGTCAATGTGCCTTTCGATTATTTTGAATCATCATTGAAAGAATACTTGTCTGATTCTGAACGTACATGCAACATTTTGTGTATTAATGTCAAACATGGAATATGTGATGTCAGGACAAAGTATCTGTTTTAGTGGTAACCTGTACGTATAACTCACATGAGAGCGGTTGTTTTTGTGATACGGGTCCAAGGGTATTTTTGTGAATCAGGATGCATCTGACTCAGAGGCAACTCATTGTCTTTGAAATTGGGAGCATAGTCGGATCATTCATCAGTTATAAGGCATGCCACTTAAAAGTTATGTATCGGAGATACATTCTCCACAAGAACACTAATTATAATTTTGTATTACATATGTACATTTTGTCGAACTGAGACTTGAAATGGACCTTGCTGATGAACATCAGTTGAAGCAAGCCCGACTGTTGAGACATTGTACACCTGTCGTGAGTTCTTGGAGACACTCGTAGAGACCACGTGTTTTTATTTTTATATATATATTGGAAAGACAGCATCTGACAGCCCTGTTCTTCACCTGAGGACGGCTGCTTGCGTTGTGGCCGAAACGTCGTGAGAATTGTATTTTATTATGTTTTCTTATTTTATTATTTCCCTTCTACGTGACTTTACCAAAAGAACCAAGAAGATGAATCCCTGCAGTCACGAAAGCTTTAAATCGAAATGTTGCGTAATACAATTATAATATTCGTGTGCATAAACTGTGTGTCCCTAAAGTCGATGTCTGTGTGTGTGAGTCCATATGTGTTTGTGTGCGTGTAAGTCGATGGGTTTCTATGTGTGTGGGTCCATGTCTGTGTGTAAGTCCATGCGTGTGTCTTTTTCAAACGGACAACGCCCCATGTGTGTGTACGTACAAGTGTTTGTGTGTGTGTCAGTCCATTTCTGTGCGTATCAGTCGCTGTGTGTGTGTGTGTTAGTCCACGTGTGTGTAAGTTCATACGTGTGTGTTTCATTCTGTGTGTGTGTCTAAGTGAATGCGTGTGTGAGTCGATGTGTGTGCATGGCTCCATCTGAGTGTAAGTCAATGTGCGTTTGTGTGTCTGTGTGTCAGTCGATGTGTGTGTGTGTTAATCCATGTGTGTGTATCTAAAGTAGATGTTTGTGTCACAGTCCATATGTCTGTGTGTAGGGCAATGTGTGTGTATCTTAGTCGATATGTGTGTGT